GAGCACTTTACCACTGCACAACCAGGGCTGTTGTGTTGGTGTTGTTGTTGTGTGCCCTCAAGTAGATTCTGACTCATAGCGACCCTACAGGACAGAGGAGAACTGCCCCATAGGGTTTCCAAGGAGCAGCTGGTGGATTCGAACTGCCGACCTTTAGGTTAGCAGCCTGAGCTCTTAACCACTTCACCGCCAGGGCTCCAACCAGGGCTAGATTTGTATATTACAAAATATCTCCAGCAGGTGGCAGTGGAGTTCCTTCTTCCAGCAGAATCTGTAGATTACAATTTTCCAGCAGATAGAAGTACAATGTCTGGAGGAAGGTGTGCCTTTTTCTAATCCAAAAGAGCAAGTGAGGAACCAAACACTTCAGTGAAGGATTAGTGAGCGTGTCCTTCCTGGAGCCTGACAAAAGGGCTTTTGTCTTTTACTGTCTGTGCTTTTGTGATTATGTTAGATAATCAGTTGCTGAAAGCTAGGCCTGACAGCGTTGCCCCTGCTTGTTCTTCTAAGAATTTTATGGTTTTAGTTTGTACATTTAGGTCCTTAATCCATTTTGAATTTGTTCTTGTGTATGGTGTGAGGCATGGAGCCTGTTTCATTTTTCCACATGGGGAAATCCAGTTTTCCCATAACCATTTATTGAAGAGACTCTTCTTTCCTCCATCGAATGGACTTAGCATCCCTGTCAAAAATCAGTCGACCACAGATGTGTGGGTGTATTTCTGGACTCCCAATTCTATTCCATTGGTCTATGTTCCGTGGACGGTTAATTGTTGTGCTATTTTTGTTACTATGCAACATTTTCTACTAAGGAGCCTGAAATCTAGAATTTTTCACTCCCCATTTCCTTACTCCCCAATAGAAGAGATTGAAGACCAGTTAAATTCTCAAATTTTCAGTACAGTTGACCTCTTCTGATCACATTTTTTTTTTTTTCCTCTCCCCAGTAAACACCATGAGAAATGGAAGGTCAAGACAACAGGTGGAAAATGTAAAGATCCAGGAACTATGTCTGTTTCTTATATCATGGTTAGTGCTAAGGGTCAAATCTTCAACAGTCCCTAGACTGAGATTTCAAATAATTTCAAAGAACCGCTGTCAGAATAACTTCTGTGACCTGAGGTCTTTTCTTCCTACTTTATCATTAAGTATAATGCAGTCTCAGCAAGGGATAATAAAAAACTTTTCAAGACCAGTGAATAATCAGAAACACAAAACAGGAAAGCTAGAACTTAAACCTGTTGATTTCTACTTCCTCTCTGAGAAACCGAGAATACAGAGGAGGATGGCCAGTGTTTGGGAGAGGCCAGAGCAGACACACTGGGGGGAAAAGAGGAGTTAGTGGCCTGCAAACTGCTCACCGAAGATGCAGAGAACATTCAGAGAGGTGTTGAGAAATCAGAGGAACAAATGCCTGAATCACTACGGTGGCAAAGTTCAGAAATAAACTAAATGATGTCATGTTTGCCATACTGGGTTTTCTTGCCATACTGTTTTTGAATTGATAGTAACTCAGATTTGAGTGGGCAGGGGTCAGTTTAAAGATAGATGTAGTTCTCAAGCTGAAACCAAGTCCTAACAGTTGTAACTAGTTAAGGTTGTATGGCTACTCCGAAGAAAAGCAAGGACGACCCGGGGCCTTCTGACTCCGAATTCCATGCACTCCCACGATACCAAGCTGGTTTTCTGGCAATGATCCCAATACTGCTACTTTGTATTCTTATACGAAGGTTGTAGTCAGGACTGCAGTGGAGGTTTATCCTGTATATTCGTTATTCCACCTTTAGAATTAATCACCATTACTGGAGTGGAAAGGAAGTTAGCATCTTCCATACTCTTAATTAACTTCCTTGATTGCGTTTGGTTCCATTTACCAATGTAGTGAACTAAACTCCTTTAAAACTGCATTTTTGAATTTAATACAGTTGATATCCCTTTTAAGTACTTCAACTAACAAACCAAACCTCAAGTTCTTAAGGAACTGTTGTAAATCTAATAAACATACAAATATAGGGAATCATAACGTATCTTAAATGTTGAAATAATTCATAAGTCAAACAAAATTTCAATTTAAATCACAAGCCCAAATCACTTACTCAATTGCACATTTTAAAATCAGAACCAAAAGGTTAATCTATTTACTCTAATAGACTAAATCTTCTTTAAGCAGCATAAATACTTTTATCAAGTACACTCGGATTATTTACCACAACATTATTACTATGGTTTTGCTTCTTTTAATATGTCTGCACTTAGTTCTAAACCTTTGTAGGATTAAAGGATGCTTACCTACAAAAACACTGTTATGAGGATACCATCTCAAGCAACTTGAGGTTGAGCAAGTTGAGGTTAAGCAACTTGAGGGGCTGACCGTTCAGCTGTATTAAGTTTCTTAATGGTGAGAAGGCCTCTGGCCTGGCGGTTACCTGGAATCTTGCCCGTCCCCACCCTGCCAATCAGAGCCTGATTTTTTAGCAGCTCAGTCAGTGCCCACCAAATGGGAGGCCTCAGCGCCTGCATGCTCTAGTTTTCAGTTACATTTCCCTACATCTCTATCTACTCACAGAGTCTGTATCCCCAACGAGTTTGCTACCCCGCGTAACAGGATTCAAGTGATCTATTTACAGCTTCTTTCTAGTCTGTTTTCTGTGAGGGCCACAACTCCTGAAACTATCCCAATGGAGAGAGATTCTCTCTGGTTTGTGTGAGTCCCTGGTAGACATGCCAGATAAAATAAGCCCCAAATGGGACAAGCTGCTGTTATTAGTTGCCGCTGAGTCAATTCCGACTCATGGCGACCGCATGTGTGCAGGCTGGAGCTGCTCCACAGGGTTTTCAAGGCTGTGACCTTTCAGAAGCAGATCGCCAGGCTTATCTTCCGAGGCACCTCTGGGTGAGTTCAAACTGCCAACCTTTCAGCTAGTAGTCGAGAGCTTGACTGTTTGGACCACCTAGGGACATTGCTTATATGAAATTCAAATTTAAATGGGCGTCTTGTATTTTATTTGCAAAATCTGGCAACTCTGCTCTCTGGTGACCCTGTCATTGGTCATGCAGAGGACATCGTTGATCTTACGTGGCCTCTAAACTAGCCACAGTCAGTGCCTGGACACTTGCTCTCTGATGTCCAGGCTCCAACTCTTCGCCTCGTGTCTCAGTGGTTACTCTCCCTTGCTATCATTTAGAAATTATGTTTCTAATAAGCTTTTTCTTTTTCTTTTTATGTGCATCTAAAAATTCAGTATATTCTTCTTCCCTCTACTTTTTAAAGTAAAAGATTCCTTTCTCCCACAAAACAAAACAAACCACTCCCAAATCCAAGGACATTAAAGTCCCACTCTCCCTCATCAATAAACAAATCACTTTATTACTACCGTTAGCACTCACCCAGTTACCGTCTTGGTTTATGTCTAACTAGAATGTAAACTCCATGAGGGCAGAGGGCCACACACACCTCTCTTGGCTCACCACTCTCTGAGTGCCCAGCTCCTAGCACAGTGGCTGGCACACGGGAGGGCACAAAGCCCATTTGCTGAAGTAACAGAATGAATGCAAATGCAGCGAGCAGAAGGGAAGAAAAGAGAAAACTTTTAGTTGGTGGGAAAGTGGAGGCTGGAGAGGGAGATGTTATTTTAGGAGGAATGCCCAGTGTTTACTTGCTATAATGATTCAGCTGCATCACACACACACACAGAGGCACTGCATAAAGATTCAATTCCTTGCGATGATCTATCCCATCACACCCATGCTTCTGAAACACTCTAAATACTTCTCTGTAATTCAAGGGACAGAAGTGGGGAGTCAACATGTGTGTCTGGAACAAAGTCAATGCAAACAGTGGAGCAAGGTTACTTTCACATCAAGGCAGAGAGCTAGGATGGCCCGGTACTGCGTGGATGAGGTCCTCGGATGGCATCACGAATGAGAAAGGCGGGTGTTCTGACCTGGCATGATGGTCTTCTTGCATTCATGGCACTTGGATGAGTACTCGCTGGAGTAGCATTCTGTACAGAGCAGCTGGTCCTCCTTGGCAGCAAAGGGCTTGTCCACCAGCGAGTTCTTGCACTGCGAGCAGTGGAAACAGCTCTCATGCCAGTGCCGGTCCTTGTAAGACAAGTCCTGCAGAACCCAAACCACAGAAGAGTGAGTACTGAACACACACACCAATGTGCACTGCAGCACCCGTCACAACTGCCAGAAGGTGGAAACAACCGAAACGTCCATCGACAGACAAATGGGTAAACAAAACGGGGTACATGCAACGGAAGAGTACTCAGCCATAAAGAGAAACGAAGTCTTGATACATGCCACAACATGGACGGACCTGGCAAACATTATGCTGAGTGAAATAAGTCAATCACAAAAGGACAAATATTGGATGATCTCACTTACGTGAGATGACAAGAACAGGCAAACGTACAGAAACCAGAGTCTATCAGTGGTTACTGGGGCGGGAGGGACCGGGAAGAGGAGCTATCAGCTAGGAAATCGGTGAGTTTCTGTCTGTGGTGATGCGAAATCTGGCAGCGATTATGGGGGATGGTTGCACAACATGATTAATGTAACTGGTATCACTAATTATACACCCGAAAATGCTGAACTGGCAAATGTTGCGTTATAGATGATTTTTACACCAACAAAAAAGCCTTAAAAAAAAGAGTGAGTATCAGAGCTGGAACTATAAGCTTCTCTACAGTCTAACCTAGAGCAGAGGGTCTATAGTACAAATTCACAAGGCAGAACAATGAATAAAAGGTGAGTATGAAGCTCATGGAGCCCTGACGGCGCAGTGGTTAAGAGCTGTGGCTGCTAACCAAAAGGTCGGTAGTTTGAAGCCACCAGATGCTCCCTGGAAACCCTAGGGGGCAGTTCTACTCTGTCTTACAGGGTCGCTATGAGTGGGCATCAACTCAACGGCAACAGGATGAGGCTTGTGGGTTAAGCGGCGTTTCTCCTGCTGTATCTTAGAGGACAGTGTAGGCAGGTGTGTGTGTGTGTGTGTGATGCTTTTGAAAAACATATGGATTTCCCTTAGGGACTGCCTATAAGAAAGAGAAACCGAGAACATGAAAATTAATTAGTGCTTCTCATTCCACAGTCAAGAGAAAAACAGACCACAGGAATTCTTTGGCTAGCAAGGGAGCAAAGCCAAACCAACCATGACAGTAGTTTGTGATCACTGGGATGACACAGATGCCCTGCGTTTGAGGGAAAGGCAGAGCAGGAGCCCTGAGGACAGGGCCGACTCAATCTGGTGGAAGGGGGTCAGCAAAGACGGCTCGTTTCAGCAGCTGAGGGGATGGGCGCCAGCAGGTGGAAGGGGTAGGAGAGGGAATTCCGGGCAGAGAAAGAGCGTGAGCAGCAACGAGATGTGAGCAAGGGGGGTGCGTGGAGGAGCTGTGTGTCAGGCTGGGCTACGTGTGCGCGTAGGCCAACGCCAGGAGGTGCGGTGGGTGAGCGGACACCCAGGCGGGACCAGGAAGGACTTCTTCTGTCCGCACGGGGTTGGAAATTTATCTTGAAGGCAGTGGCGAGCTGCTGAACTCTTCTAGCTAGAAGAGTAAAATGTTCTGTGAAATGGATAAGGAAGGGAAGGCGAGAGGAGGGGCAGGGAGAACACGGGGAAGCCTGCTGTGGAGAAGGGATGGCGACCGGAATCAGGCGGGGTCTGCGGGAGTTGGAAGCAGGGAGCGGATGGGAGAGATATTCAGAAAACAGACTTCACGCTTTTCGGTGAACAAGAGACAGGAGCCCAGCAGAGAAAACTGTTTGTCACTCTCTGCTGCCCCTCATCTGGCCTGAGGAGTAACAAGGTTTCTGCATGCTTGCCTTTTTCCAATGGCATGAGGGCATTTGAAAGTGCTAATACACCCTGGAAAAACAGCAACCAATTTCAACACCCAGCTTTATCTTAGGAAGGATATTTTTCTATTGCTGCCTCACACAAAGCCATCATCCATTTATTAATGAGGCAGGAACAGAATTTTAGGCCATCAGGTGGTCTCCTGGCCAGTGTCCAGATCCGAATATCCGTGTCACGGGGTCGCTCATGTAGACTGCCATCGAGAACACCCTTCTCGAGATATCACTGTTACTGAAGCCCAAGTAGAAGCTGGAGTCATCCTGGGTAGAGGATGTGAAAGCACGTATCTTGGACCTGAGTAGAAACTACTAAAACAACAACTAAACCCTGAACCCAAACTAGAACAAACAGTTCTCTCTCCTTGAAATAGTTTTGTGATTTTTTTTCTTTCCCCAGAGGCTTGAATCAAACTAGAGTCATTTCACTTGGTAATCTTTTTGCACATTTTGTTTTAGCTCAAGGAATTTTAAAAAATATCAATGTTGAAACACTGAGAAAAGAATTGAGCATCTGTGAGGCACAGTCAGGTGTATGGTTTTATTGTGAGGGGGTGAGGTCTGTGCTGGTCCCTCTGATGTCATCCCTGTTAAAAGCTTCCTTAGCAGAATGTCTGCAAGTAGAATTATTCTGATGCTGGTTCATAAGGAATAAAGACAAGACAAGCACAGAATTTTCTCAAAGCATGACTAAATGGACTCATTTCCCCGAGGCTGACTCTTACCTGAATCCCAGGATCCCTTGGGTACTCTAAACAAGGCACTGTCAGTTTACTGAAAGATCGTTTACTGAATGCTAGGTCTCTCTCCCTCATCTGTGACCCCAAAACTGAAGAGTGTATATCCTGGGGGCAGAGGACTAACCAGTCTTTTGCATTTCTGTCTAAAAGTATTTTCAGAAATTTGAAAAAAATCACCTTGTGCTTTATTGGTTGTTTTGATAAATGAAATAAAGTACCTTTAAACTGCTGTATTTGAGTTAATGTCTATATATGCAAACCCATTATAAACTGCAAAGCCCAAAATCTGCACATGTACATCATTATTCAGGATTAGGTGTGGCCTAGATTCTTTCCATGCATACACCCCATCTTCAAAAAGAAGTCACTGAAAGCAGGAACGCAAACAGAACCCCGTACACCAATGTTCACTGAGGCACTCTTCACAATAGCCAAAAGGTGGAAACCACCGAAATGTCCATCAACAGAAGAATGGATAAACAAAATGTGGTACATACATACATACAGTGGAATAGTACTCAGCCATAAAGAGAAATCAACAACATGCCACAACATGCATGAACCTTGCAAACATTATGCTGAGTGAAATAATCACTCACACAAGGACAAATACTGTATGATCTCACCTACATGAAATAAGCAAATACATAGAAACCAAAGACGATTAGTTTAGCAAGGGTGGGAGGGAGGAGGACATAGGGAGTTTTTGCTTGGAAGGCATACATCACATTGTAAAGTCTTGTTAATGGTGGTGGAATAATTCGGAGAAGGATGGCGAGAATGGTTGTACAACATGAAAAATGTAACCAATGTCACTGAATTATACATGTGGAAATTGTTGAAATGGAGAATGTTTTATGTATATTTTCACCACAAAAAAAAAAAAGTCATTCTTTTTCTCTTTCTGGGATAATAGTGATGATAAGTATTTCCACGCTGAGTTCCAGGCACTGTGCAATCTTGCAGGGTAAAGGTTACTGAAGCTCTCAGACAAGTCCAGTAACTTGCCCACTGTCACACACCTGGCCTATATCGCTGAGCCAAGATTCAAGCTCAAGTCCTTCTGATTCAGCAGCTATTTCTACTGAACAATACCAGCAACATTTCTGGCAGGACCGGAGTTACTCGTCACTAACAAAAAATGTACCCCGATGAGATCTGTGTGTACGCATGGAAAAAATTCAGAAACAACCAAAGTCTCCCAACTTTCAATACCATATTTTGTACCCAAATTAACACACTTCAACATTGCCTTTGTTTAAACTTTGAATAAAGTTGAGCCAACTATTTGAAACCCTACCCAACAAACATGGTCATCAGCCTAATTTAAGATTTGGGGGTTTTGATCATGCTATCACTGTTATAGGAAAACCTGGTGGCATAGTGGTTAACAGTTCGGCTGCTAACCAAGAGGTCAGCAGTTCAAATCCACCAGGCACCCCTTGGAAACCCTATGGGGCAGTTCTCCTCTGTCCTATAGGGTGACTATAGGGTTGCTATGAGTCAGAATCGACTTGATGGCAATGAGTTTGATTTTTTTTAATTACCATTATACTGCTGATTATAGAAAAAGTACGTATAAAAAAAAATACATTTTGAAGGTCCCTGGGCGGCTCAAACAGCTTACACTCAGCTGCTACCCAAAAGGTCAGTGGTTCAAACCCACCCAGCAGCTTCTCAGGAGAAAAGACCTGGCGATCTGCTTCCATAAAGATTACAGCCAAGAAAACCCTACGGAGCAGTTCTACTCTGTAACACACACTTTAGGGGTCTCTTAAGTCACAAATCAACAAGAAAAAAATAAATAAATTTTGATTAATACATAGCAGGTGAAAAACACTTTTTCAGGAACTTAGCTGGATCTCTTGTGTAGACCAAGTCACCTCGTAAAGGACTGTTATTGTGGAAAAGCTGCAAAATGTTTTCCATGTTCAGTGAATCACTGCCTGGGTAAGATGAGAAATCCAGAAACAGCGGAGGTGGTAGGAGGAAGGTCAAAGACCTGCCTCTTTAATGCTGGTTTATTTTTACATGTTGGCTACTCTGCCTGGGAAGTAAGCATCACATAGAGAAAGGTTTAAGTTATTAGGGAAAAGAGAAGAAAAGGAAATACGAGTTCAAGGGAATGTGCCTTGTGGAACTGACCTTCCAAAAAAATTGCGGAGGAGCCTCCAAGGAAATCATCCCAAGAAGTCAACCGCCAGGATTCCACCACAGTCCCCTGTCCTGGTTAGCTAGTCCCCAGACAAAGCAAAGCACAGTGGAATGCACTAGCGTGACTGGACAGTCATGGAAGAAATGACTTTAGAGGATGATCTTCCCCCTGAGTTTACAGAGGACTAGACTCATGTGTATCAAAAGCACTGCAGAAATCCGTTTTTTCACTAAAGTTAACATTTCTGGCATGAAAACACTGTAGCTGCAGTTTGAGATTGATCTGTTGCCACAGAATGTTGACACTTGAAAGTGTCCCTCTAAACGGAGGTACTATCCACATGTGGAATCCCTGGCTGGTACAAA